CTGTTTGGATCTTGCACGTGAATTTTAGAGCAGGGTAAATATTATTATCTTTTTCTTTGCCTTCCTATTCTACTGCAACAATCCTTTATTTTAAGACATAGTGCTAGCCAATCCTGAAATCAAAACCTTAATTCCAATAACTTAGAAGGACTGGGGTGACATGATAGCAGTCTTCCAATGTCTAAGGCGTTGACACAAAAAAGAGGGGGTCAACCTATATTCCCCAAAGCACCTGAAGGCAGCAAAGGATGGTAATTAATCAAGGAGAAAACCAACCTAAAACTAAGGAGAAATTTCCTTACAGTTAGAACAATTAGTGGAATGACTTGCCTGCAGAAGTTGTGGGTGCTCCAACACTGGAGGTTTTTTAAGAAAAGACTGGCCAGCCATTTGCCTGATATGGTACAGAGCAGGGGTCGCCAACCTTTTGGACCTCAGGGACCACCAAACTCATAATTTTAAATCCCGTGAACCAGAGATCCTGGGAAAATCCCCCCCAAAGTCTGCAGGAAAATTCCCCTACTGATCGACCATCTCCAGCTCTGTTCTCAGGGGGACAGAGAGAGAGACACTTTTGACTTCATGCAAGGAAAGCAGCAAAAGTCTTTCTTTCTCTCCCCCAAAATCCACCAGAAATGAGTCTTTGTGAGACTTGTGCACAGGCGCTGCCTCTTGGAGCGGGAGGCCTTGCAGGATCCCAAAGACTAATTTCTGGCAGAGTTTCGGGGAGTGAAAGAAAGACTTTTGATACTTTCTTTGCATGCAGCTGAAAGCAGGAGAAGAAAGAAGTGGAAATAAGTAGTCCGATGGCCAGGTGAGGCACATGGGGCGAGTGGGGCAAATTTCCCCCTTCCGTCCATTCCCCCTTCCACCCACTACCTCGTGTTGGTTGCAATGCAAGCGACGCAAGCCTTGTGTTCCCACAGGCCATGTGGGCAGCGCAGTCTTGTGCAGCCTGGATTAATTACTTTGGGGGGTGCTTTGGGGGTGACATTTCTCTGTGGACCACCACAATTTTCTCAAAGACCACTAGTGGTCCCTGGTCCACTGATTGGTGACCACTGGTATAGAATGTCCTGCTTCAGCAGGGAGTAGAAGACCTCCAAGGTCCCTTCCGACTCTGTTATTCTGTTAAATTCTATTAAATATTCTGAGATCCTAGTCTTGTTAAATCCATAATGGCTACATGAACAGTATGAACCAATTCTATGTGAAGAACTAGTTCTAGGTGAGGGAAATTAAAAAATTCAGAAGAAAAAGCAATCTCACTTAGAAGCATGCAAAACATTTAATAGTCAAAATATTTTGATTTCAAAACAGGCTGTTTTAAAAATACAGATACTAGAAGTGGTGTGATTTCAAAATAAGTATTGTGTATTTCATTTTGAGATTTATTACACAGTAACTTCCCCCTTTAATAGTTTTAATGTTTAAAAAATCCTTTTAATTTATTGTCAATTTTTCTACAAACATGAGAAGATCGGTAACTATGCAGAAACAGCAATTTTATTTGCAGGTTATTTCATTTTTCTACCCAACTGATAAGCACAAAATTGCAAGAAAACCTTAAAGGACACTTCTGCTAGCCTTAAGTAAACCAATAAAAGCAGTTATCTAGGGATGTGCAACATTTCATATCTGAAGCCAAAAAATGTGTTCCAAGTAAATGTGGGCATGTTGTTGGTGTTTCCTTAACTCAAATGCTTGTTTTCTTGGGAGCCAAGGAAACACACAGATTCTCTAAGGAGGCACTAACAGTTCCATCTTGATTTAGGATCCAAAGGGTCACTTACTGGTAGAAATCCCTAAAAACCAGAGCAACAGAGTCAAAAGAGAGATAAATCATGATATAGGAAGTAAAGATAAGCATTTAAAAGGAATAGACAGAAAATCCACAATTTCTTTAAAATTCTTATCAAAGTGATTTTTTTTTGGTGAGTCCTTTTCCTTTAGCATACTACTATGGGGAGAGGGGAGATTATAACAAAAAAAGGAAAAAGGGAGATATCCAAAAATATGCATTCACCCACTGCTTGCTCCAACCATTACCACCACATATCCCTCAAAGATGACTCTTGAAGGAATGCTGCTTAAAATATCTGGAATATGAAATTTAACATTATGGGGAGCTTATCCCTCCATTTTGAACAGAGATAAATCCAGGGCAGGAACTCAAGAAGAGAAGCAACAGACAACCTCTCTCAAGAGATGGATAATTTTACTGTTTTGAAAGTGACTCAGTAATGCAAATAGGTCAGAATTATCTATATCCTGAGGAAGCCTACAATATCAGAAAAACACAAAGCTAATCACTGAAGCACAAAGAGGCAGCTATTTCACTGAGTTCGTATTTTGGGCTTTTAATAACCTCTCTTTCCTTACTTATCAGCAGCACATGTGATTTGTGCATTACTGGACTTAAGAAGAAAGAGGAAATAGCTGCCAATCTCCGAGAAACTCCAGTTTGTGATAAAAATACAATATCGAGCAAAGTCTGACGTCCTCAATCATTCCACTTCTGTGCATTTGGGGTGGGGAGGGCATTAAAATTCACAGTTCTTTCCAACAGATGTTTATCTCCAGTGAAACTTTCTTACCCTCTGGCTCTCCTTTCAGTAAAGTATCTCTTTCTTCACATTTCAGTTTTTTCGAGTTTCCAGACCTTTGAATCATAGAAATACATTTCCTCCTTCCCAAGATAAAGATGGGTTCACATTCACGGTTGTACTGGGTAGAGGTTCATAGGCACCTTAGCCTTAACGGCGAACAATTATGCTTATCTCTCTGCCAATGGAACTATACTGTGCATTGTGTACAGACCAAGAGAATAGCATGCAGGCACTCCTCAACTTATGACCATCACTGAGTCCACAGTTTCAGTCATAAGGCAGGCCATCAATTTTACTGTGACCAATTTTACCATCTGGTTGTCAAGTGCATGCCACCATTGTGAACTCATTTGTTGCTATTTTTTAGCAACTAAAAGCTAGCAAAAATGGTGATTTATGCTGGGTTTGATAACTTTCAGTGAAAATGGCATAAATTGCCGTCATGTGACCCTGCAGCATTGCAAATGGTTGTAAATGGGGGCTGGTTGTTGAGTGCCCAAAATGCAGTCATGCGACTGGTGTGAGACACACACACACTTTGAATCCTCTGTTGGGATCTGTCGTAACTTCAGTCAGTAAGTGGCCAGTCATTAAGTCCCGGACTATCTGAATTGCCTCTCTTGTATTTTCTCTTTAGTTCCACTTATGAAAGGACAAAAGAAAATTAATGCAAGGCAAGGAGGGTGTGTGAAGAGGAATATAATGGAAGTGAAGAAAAAATTGCACTCGCTTTTTAGATTTAGTCATGCTTACAGACAGGCAACCACAGTATTGGGAGGCAAAGCAGAACAAATCAATAAAGAGGAAAGCCTATTTCAAAAAAAAAAAAAGATGCCTGAAGATTCCCGAAAATAGAAAGTAAAGCTACATCACCCTAATAAAATTTAAGCTGGAGTAGTGCGTTTTAAAATGCTACCAGGGATATTTATTTTGGCAAACCAGAGCACCAGACCCCAAGAGTCTTGCATGTGAATGGCTGTTTTGTGCAAAATGCCAATTTTTCTTTCCCCCTCTCCCTTCTTTGATAATCTGCATTACATGAATATGTATGAATGTCTTTGAATTATTTACACAGCTACCACCACCTTAAAAATCACTCGAGGCAATTTGCTACCCGACCAAACCGTGTAAACCAGTATAAAAAACCAAGCTGGAGTCAGAAAATTGGGATGGCAAGCAAGCAATTATATGCAGGCATCAAAGGGTCCCTTTCTACTGAATTGGGGCAGCTGATAAAATAAAAAAAAGATCTTTCAAATCCGGTTGTACATATATATCTGCCCGCATATCTGCATCTCCAAAGGCGGGCAGGGGTTTAAATCCATGCATAAGTACCCAGATAGACCCCTCCCCTCATTGCACCCCCATATGCAAACGTGCAAATCTCCCCTGCCTGTATTTGTGGGCACGGCAGAGGTCGGGCAAACCCACCCACCCATCCATTCACACACACACACCTTTTGCACGTGTGCGTGCGTGTCTCTCTCTCTCTCTCTCTGTGTGAATGCCGTATCGGAAGCGAGCCTGCAGAGAGCCCTCCTCCTCTGCGGAGACCAGGGAGCGCCAACGTGGGACCCCTCCCGGGAAGGGTGTGCAAGCGCTGCCTACGAGGAACAATGAAGCCCGCGGCGACACGTGTCTGCGCGAACGTGTGAACGGGGGCGGGTGGGCGGCGGCAGGGCATATTACCTCCCTCCCAAGGGGTCTCGCGCGAGGGCAGCCGGGCGCTCCTCCTCACCTCCCCAGACGAAGAAGACGCCTCAGGCGGCGGGGGGGGGGGAGGAGCGGTTGCTCTTCCCCTCACTAGACGCCGCGGCGCTTTTCCTCCTTCTCCAGTCGCTCGGCAGGGGCTTCCCCGAAGGGCGAGACCCGGCTTCGCCTCAGGGCCTCGAGGGCGAAGCGGAAGCGGCAGCGGCAGTAACAACCCTCCCGTCTCTCCTCGCCATCAATTCTCCTCAGCAGCGGCCAGGCGGAAAGGCCCGGCGCGCCCGCCCTGAGCGCGCGCCTGCGCACGAGCGAGCCACTGAGCGCGCGCGCCCGGGAGGGGAGCGGGGCAGCCCCGCCCACTCCTCAGCGCCGCATCTCCGAGCAACCCAGCCGCGCCCCTTTCCCCCCCCCCACACCCTCTCTCTGCCCCCCCCACCCTTAACCTATGGGGAGGCCGAACCAATCGCTTCTCCCCTTCGTTGATTGACGACGGGTTCTGCAAGGCAGAGGAAGCGGGGGGGAGGGGGAACCTTTCGGTGACTTGGATTGGAGGGTTAACCCCGCCCACCTGCCACGGATTTTGATTTCTCATTGGCCAGCAGGCCGGCAGGCTTCGACGGGGATTCGCCGGGCGGCCTGAGAGCGGGCGGAAGAGGCGGTGCGGAAGTGCGGAGGGGTTGGTCGGGGGCGTGTCCTCGGGGAAGCCGGGCCTGTTGGCCGCGAGGTGGGTGTTGAGGGAAAGAAGCGGTCGTTTGAAGGGTCCATGGCGGCGAGGTGGGTGCTGAGGGGCGGCCTTTTTTGGACCTCTTGAGAGGCCAAAGAGTGGCTGGTCTTCGGAGGAGGAAGGGGTCGCGTGAGAAGAAGGCGGAGCGAAGACGAGGGAGGGACAAAACCTGATTCGAATCGGCCTTTGCGAAGCGCTCCCGGTTCGGCGTTTGCCAGGGACGCCGAGGATCCGGCGACAGACCTGTTTAAATTCATGATTGGGATGACGTGAACCCGCCCTTCATGCAAAAAGTCGGCTTCCCGAAATGGGGGCCCTCCGGATTCCCGCTCCCATCATCCCCAGCCAACTCCGCATGGGCTCGTTGGAGGCTACCGGAATTGGGAGGGGGGTGTCTCTCGAGGGTCCAGAACCCTTTGGGGTCCCTTATAAAGTAAACGACCTCGAGCCAGGCCGGGAATCAGTAGGATGGGAGACCACCAACTGCCTGAGGCCTGTCTAAAAGTTAGAATAGCAGTAGAAATGAGAGAGAGAATTTAGTATTCACATTTTTATATTATAATAACAGGATAAAAGTAATCACTAGATGAAAAGGTTAGAGGTTGAAAAAGGGTATCACTGTCAAATAATATTGTGATTGGCATTGGAATGGCACATCGAAACAGTAAACTAAATAATGAAAGATAGCCTAATACAAATATGCGTACTAATATTAAAATTATATGTTTGATTAACGGGATAAATATTAACATTGTTATTTGTATCAAAATGAATGACATCCAGATGCCGCTCTATTCATGATATTGATGTATATTTTAAAAATTTTATGTGTGTGTGTGCACACACACACAGACACACACACATAAAGGATGGGAGACCACCAGGAAACCATTCCAGATTTCAGGGAAAGAGCCATTTCAGGGAGAGAGCCATTCTGTACAGGTAGTCCTCTGCTTACAACAGTCCATTTAGTGACCCTTCAAAGTTGCAACAGCGCCAAAAACAATTACTCATTTTTTTATTTTTTTTATTTATTTTATCAAGCGATTATAACAGGTATAAGTATAAACATAGTTATGAATACATGAAATGGATACAAGAAAAATAAAAAGAAACAATAGGACAGGGACTGTAGGCACGTTGGTGCGCTTATGCACGCCCCCTTGGGACTATTTTTCGCACTTAACCGTTGCTGCGTCCCCATGTGATCAAAATTCAGCCATGTGATAATTGACTCGTATTTATGACTGTTGCAGCATCCCTGGGGTTAGATGATCCCCTTTTGTGACCTTCTGACAAGCAAAGTCAATGGGGAAGCCATAAGGTAGTAAAATGGGGAAAATATAACAATGTTTCACTTAGCAACATAAATTTTAGGCTCACTTGTGGTCATAAGTCAAGGATTACCTGTACTTCCAGTGTAGTAGTGAGCAATTGGGTAGGGAAGAGGAGATACGTAATAGAGACAGATCCACCGCTAAGAAAATCTAAAATGTTTGCTGGGCAAAATCAGAATACAGGTAACTCCTCAGGTTACATATCCTTTGTGTTCTCAGCTTCCTTTGTCTGTTTGCAAATGATCACACTTGCGAAGTGCTAGACCTGTGTTGTTAAGTCAAGATACAAGGCAAAAATTGCATTATTGACCATTCCAGGCCAGAAAGCCTAGCTTATGAATACAGGCCTGGTTCTAACCCTTTTCTCTGCATAGGCTGCTCCAGAATGGAAGGTGGAGAAAGCAGCACGGACCTGGTAATTAACAAAAGATTTGTCTCGGAGGCGGAGCTAGAAGAACGTCGCAAGCGAAGGCAGGAGGAATGGGAGAAGGTTCGGAAACCTGAAGACCCCAAAGGTACTTAACTGTCAGTTGGGGGATTGACTAAAGGGTCACAATCCCAAACAGTGGGATTAAATTGGTACGTTCAGCCAAGTTCTGGTCCATGGACAATGGCTGACCGGAAGGATATTTGAGCAAAATTATACATAACAACCAAAATGAAACTAACAGACCAGTTCAGTGTCATCCTGAAAATATTCCTATTTATTTCACTGGAAAAGGAAGCTAAGGAAGAAAGTACAGTAACACAGAACAGATGACAGTCTTCCAATATCGAAGAGGTTGCATCGAAGAGGTTGCCGCAAAGAAGAGGGGGTCAACCTATTCTCCAAAGCACCAGAGGACAGGACAAGAAGCAACAGGTGGAAACTAATGAAGGAGAAACTAATGAAGCAGCCTGGAACTAAGGAGAAACTTCCTAACAGAACAATTAACCAGTGGAACAACTTGCCTCCAGAAGTCGTGAATGCTCCAACGCTGGAAGTTTTAAAGAAGAGATTGGACAACCATTTGTCTGAAATGATATAGGGTTTCCTGACTAAGTAGGGGTTGGACTAGAAGACCCCCAGAATCCCTTCCAATTCTGTTATTTTATGTTCTGTGTTCAAATCTTCCTGGGCATACGAGTGTTAGGAAGAGGTCAAAGGAAAATTCACATACTCAGCTATTAGCTTTTAGCACTCATCACATTTTTCAGTACTTCTGTGGGTTTTTTTTTAAATATGGGAAACAAGTCATAATTTGCCAGGATAGAGGGAGGCTAATGGTTTTCTTGAAGTTTTGTAGAAAATGTGCATTAATTTCACCAATCACAATTGTAAACTCAATCATGTCTGGAATCGACAGATTAAAGTTTACAGGTATCAGTTCTTTTCCTAACATTAAAAAATGGCTAGTTGGATGTGCTTTAAGGCAGGAAGGCTTGTTATTACCTGTGGTAGATTAACTTGATGGATGGAGTAAATTTTCTATTAGAGCAATTCCTGACAGATCTATTTCTTCTTCTAGAATGTCCCGAAGAAGCGTATGACCCTCGATCTCTCTATGAAAGGCTTCAGGAACAGAAGGACAAGAAGCAGCAGGAGTTTGAAGAACAGTTCAAATTCAGTAAGTTTCACTAAGCGTCCCTGAAATTCAGTCACACGATGTGACCCCCTTGTGTGTGTGTGGTGTTTTTTTTTTCTTATCTCCCTCGTGTGGTAGCCTTAAGAACAGAACTGTCTCTCCTGAAATGCTTCCTTATGGCTTTGCCACCTTCTTACAGTTGTGCCAAGGTAACACAGCTGGCTTCCAGGAACCAGTCTGCCCACCTCTGCAGAGGAAAGGAAGAAGCATTGCCATGTGAAGCTTGGCATAGCTACCTGCTTTTTCTTCTTGGCTTCAAAAGTGGCAGATTCAGTTGCAGGTTTATTCCGCCTTCATACGTCTGTGGACAATGGGGAAATGACCTGCAGGCGAAAGCATTTGTGTTTTATCTTTCCATCTGGCAGCACTTGTTCACTTCCTGATCTTTCTTGCCTAGGTGAAGCTTTATGTCAAGGGTTTGACTTTAAGGCTCGTGGATTTCAACTCCCAGAATTCCCCAACCAAACATGGGAATTTGAAGTCCACCTATCTTAAAGTTGCTAAGTTTGATAAAGGCTGCCTTAGAGAAGTCCTATGATCCTTAAAAAAGAGGTGCATTGCCGCTGCTTTGAAGCATTAACAAATAGATGTTATGGTTGCGTTCCTGCATGCTCAGAAACATCTTTTGATGTTTGAATATAATGTGTTCTCCCATCCAGAATTATCTCAGTGTGGCCACTATATCCAATTATTCAGCTCCCTAGCTCAGTATTCCACAGTCTTGGCAGCTTTAAACTGTATGGATTTTCTGGCTGGGGAATTCTGGGAATTGTAGCCCACACAAGTTGCTAAAGGTAAGGATCATCCGGAGAGTTGTGAGATACGACATTTTTAGACTAGCCCTTTTTCACGGGCTTTCCTTCATTCTGTCGTGGAATCATTGGCTTTTGGGAAGGAGTGGCGGTACATTGTGCTGAGCCCCAATTGTCTTGGTTTCGGTTCAAAGGGTCCATTGATGCATTTTAAGTAATTGATTTTGTCTGCCCGTTGTGCTGCTTCATCGCCACCTCTCTTTATTGTATTTTGTTATCTTGGTGTACAAAGCATCACCTGGTCTGCAGACATCGGCTGTGTTCAGGGCTTGCTGATGATGAATAGAATTTCATATAGTTAACACACCATACTGTTTTGTTAATGTTTCTAGTCCTTAAGATTATAAAAATGGATGGGAATGTTTTTACTTAGCCTTTGGGCTAAGATCAAGCATTGTATCTTCAGTGGCCTTTAATCTCAGAGCCCAGGTTGTTGAATGAACCCCCAGATTTCATAGTGAGAAATTTTAGTTCAGGGTAACGCTCTTTCCTATAGTTATGTTTTCTGTTTCTGCATTCTGATAGGTTCACACATTATAGCAAGCAGTAAAAGTGGCTTGATTTTGCCTTAGCATGTTGCATTTTCCTGACCATTGGGTTCTATAAACAAAGCTTTCTCATTTCCATGATACACGTAAACCAGGTCACTGCAAGCTAGTTCATCAAATTGCAGTGAAGTTAAGCTTCATATAGTTTGGCAGCCCAGGCCCTAATATGATGAAACCTGTTTCTGGGCTGCTTCAGGTCGGCTGTGGGGTGTATGGGTAAGTGCTCCTCGGGCCAAAAAAATATTCCTGTATGTAGGAAGCTATAATGTTATAAAAGAAGGTTGTGTGAACTTTCCCATTCTTGGAAAATGTAGATCTTGAAAGCAGATTAAATGGGCAATCAAACAGGTAAATATGAATGTGTTATTTACTGTGATAGCATCAGCCAGGATGGTGGTTCAGCCTTTTTTTCAAAATTCAGTAGAACCTTGAATGGTGGAAGGAGCAGGTTTGTTGGAACCAAAGTCCGTTAAAGCCGTTTGATGACATTTCCATAATTAATGCAATTGTCAGACAAGTAAATCTACATAAACGATATAAGTTATTACATCAATTGTCTGGCGTTCTCCAGAAACAGAGTTTGTAAGTTGGAGGCGAGGTCCAAATGAAGATGTGGCCCATTGCATCAGAATGGGAGGTCCATCAAACGGGCTGTCCCGTATCTTCCTAACGGATGGAATAAAAAGGTGCTGAAATGAGACGGCAGAGGTGCTGTAGCCAAATTTGTGGGTTTATCGCAGCCTTGTGATAATCTTGGCTTGTTCTCTGCAGAAAATATGGTCAGGGGCCTGGATGAAGATGAGTCCAAGTTCCTTGATGAAGTTTCTCAGCAGCAAGCTCTGATAGAAAAGCAGCGTCACGAAGAAGACCTCAAGGAGCTGAATGAGTACCGGATATCCTTGGCCCTGAAAAGGGGTGTGGTCCTTCTTCCTCTTGGGGTGTGGCGGGGTTCAGAAGCAGCCCTTCGCGTGTTTCTGGGAAGCCTTGTTCTTGTCTTTGAACTCTTTGGCGGGTTAAATTATTCTAAGACAGGTGCCAAGTTTACATTATTGGTGTGCAAGGCATTACAACTATTCCTCAATTTACCACCACAGTGGAGCCCAAAATTTCTGTGGCTGAGCGAGACAGTTGTTAAGTGAGTTTTGCCCCGTCCTTTGATCTTTCTTGCCACAGTTGCTAAGTGAATCCTTGTAGTTGTTAAGTCAGTACCCCGGTTGTTAAATGAATCTGGCTTCCCCGCTGACTTTGCTTGTCAGAAGGTCACAAAAAGGATGAGATGACTCCTGGGACGCTGCCCCCATCAGAAATACATGTCCAAATGCCAAGCATCCAATTTTTTGATCACATGACCTTGGGGATGCTCAACAATCCTAAGTGTGTAAAACGGTCATAAATCACTTTTTTAGTGTCGTCATAACTTTGGTCACTAAATTAATGGCTTTAATAGTTTAGTTGGGGTGAATAAGCTTCATTGCTATGCTATGATGTGTCACACTTTTAAACTATTTTACTGCTTTAAATTTTACTTTGGTCTGAGACAGTCAATACAATTTGATTTGAAAAGTAGACCGTCATGATATCCACACATTTATATTTATATTGCCACTTTTAGATTCTATTTTGTCATGAACTTTTAACATAGGACAACATTGTGCAGATAGTCCCCGATTTTCAGCCGTTTGTTTAGCTACGGTTCAAAGTTACAGTGCAATGAAAAAAGTGTTTTATGACCAGTCTTAACAATCATCACAACATAATCACATGGTCAACATTTGGGCACTTGGGCAGCCTTTCTCCTTTGCAGGGAGCGTCAATTTTTTCCATCCCTGTGCCTACAGGTAGTCCTCAGATTATGTCTGGTTTATACCAGACCTCCCATTTGTGTAGTTCCAACAGCTGCCTCCCTCTCCCTGGTCATCTGATTACATTTTGGGCATTTGGCAACCGATTTGCATTTTTGACCCAACTTTATGACATGGTTTGCAGATTTCTTCAGGTTTCCAGCAAAAAAAAAAATCCATTAGGTAAAAGAGCCTCATTTAATGACTGTCATGACTTACAACCCTCATTCTGGGCTTAATTACAGCCATAAGTTGAAGACTGCTGAAATAGTAATCTCACTGCAAACTGACTCCCATTTAAGATTTATAGTATTTTCTCTTCTTTAGTGACCAAACCAGTCAACTTGTACAAATCTAGAAATAACCATAAGGAATCATCATAAAAGTCCAAGTTCTTCTTTTTTTAAAAAAAAAAATGACCACAGAGTGTGAACATGTCTGCCCAGATCTCCAATTCAGGGAGTCCCTCATCATGGTCTGCCTGTCTCTTTAATTTTAAATATTTAAAACACCAAGTTTGTTGGATGTGGATTGGACAAACAGCAGGCTAGAATAAGAATAATAGAATAGAATAAGAATAGAATTAGAATAGAATAGAATAGAATAGAATAGAATAGAATAGAATAGAATA